CGGGTGCAGCTGGAGGACTGGGGCGGGGGAAGCCTTACCGAAGTGAGACCCCGCCGGCCGCCATATGCTGCTGCCGGCACAGCTAATTAGACGGGCCGTGGGAGCGGAGAAGGGACCGAGAGCTTCCACATGGGAACTTAGTGGGGAGATAACTTTCCTGCATCTGTCAAGGACTCCAGAGACTGTTGGCTGGAAAAGGGTGTGATGGCTGATGCCATTTCCCTGGTTAACTCTTCAGTGACCTTGAGATCCACATACTAGGTGCCTCCTGCCCCATGACACCTGGAGACGCCACCCCCGAAGAACAGGTTTTGAGTTTCGATCCCTTCGCAGACTTTTTCATGTCCTTCCCCACTGTGAGTGCTGCTTCCTTACTGCTCTTTTTCTTTTGTGCAGGTGACAGCAGCGAGCACCCCCTGTTCTGTGTTGAATATTCCCCTTACTGCTCCGTCTTTGCTTTCTCTCCCGTCCTGCAGCCCAATACCAGTTACTGCTGCCTCGTCCTGCCACTAGTGCCACCTGCCTCCCCAGTGGCCCAGGACCGTCCCACCCAGCTCCCTCCAGTTCACTTTCCCTCCTTCGCGAGCCCCACTTCCTCCTCCCCGGGCCCAGGGCCCCAGTCTCCAGCAGCCCTGTGCTATTTCCCAGTCTCCTGCCCCACCCCGGCAGAGACCCCTGTGCTGTGCCTGCCTGGCCCCAGACGGCCCAGTAGAATTTACCTCATGTGGTAAGTCGCCCTCGGCAAGGCACACAGCACCGTAGAGTCAGGGAGAGGGGGACATCAGGCTCCCAGAAGGCAGGCGGATGGGAGGGGGCCCAGAGGGCAATGCCATGACCAACCAACACCGGGCGGTGTGGCGTGCAGGGGAGCAGGAAGATGAGACAGCTGCCGCCACGTCACTCAACTCGCTTCTAGCGCCGAGGAGTGAGCTACCAATAAAATCCCATCCTCTCTCGAGAGACTCATTTGATTTCTTCACTCCTGTGTCTGGCACACTCTGGAACGTCACCACCAGAAACCGATCAGGCTCTCGCGTGGGCCGTGTGAATGCACGCGCCCCCAGGCGGCCCCGAGAGGGGGCGCAGGGGCAGGGCCTGGGGAAAGAAAGCACGGGCTGGAACGGCCAGCCCGTTCAGAACCACACTGAGCAGGGACAAATTGAGGGCTCAGTCGCTGTTTACATTCCCTTTCCTGCCTACTTATTAGGTGCTACATTTCCCCAAATCAAAAAATCCCACCTCCTGGGGTCCAAAATAAAACATCTTTATGGTACGTCATTAAGCTTTAATTAAGATCCCCTCTGGGTATGCGAGACAACACACACTTCCAGCACTCTCGCATGGGGAGATAGACGGGCCTGTTATGTGTGACGGTACAGAAAGCCGCCCGTTACACCAAGGCAGCACCAGTGCTGGTGATTAAGCTGTAATTCTTCCCACGATCTAAATTATAGGAAGCAATAAAAATTTAAGGCGTCTCTCAGACAGAATCTTAGCACCTGCTGGGTACCAGGCGTCCGAGTCAAGGTAGTGAGGGGCAGGGGGAAAGGGTCAGGAACGGCATTTTTCATTCTTTGTGTCTATCGAGAACTACATCTGTGTAGGACAAGTGATGTGAGGGACCGAACAGTTATCAGCGGCATGGAATTAATACGTACTATTAAATGGACTTTCATAGTCGTCGAGAGCGTGTATAAATATGAGATTCCTGCCTTTATTAACTTTCCTGGCCAAATTAAGAACTATTCAGTCAAATAATTACAGTGTTCCAGCATTATCAAATAAACTGAGGCATCGCCTTGCTCAGATGCTAGAACAAAGTATGGGTTTCGGGATGTCCAAAGCAAACCACGGTCTTCCCAAGATTCACTAACAAACTTTAGGATGGTGAGTTGCCTGGTAACAAATCTCCTGAACACAATGCCCTCCCTTCTCTGTAAGGTGAAGGGCCCGTCCTGCCACCTGCAGAGGGAGTGATACTTCATCTTCCAGGGTAAATACGACTTGGTCTTCCTGCAGATTACTATATGTCGCATGCCACCGTGAGGGCAATCCTAGAAAAGCCCCAAACGTCTGCCATTTGTTCACTTTTGGGAATGTGTCCTGAGGTGATCAGGAACTGGAGTCCCGGTACACACAAACTGTGCAGTCTAAGTCACCCCATTATGACTGCAATCGCAGGTGGAGGAAGGGGGGCTCTTTCACAAGAGTCAGCTTTCCGTAGAACCTAAAAGGTTTCACGGGGAAGAAGTCAACGATACAGCCAAATTAGATTATAATCTTTAAGGTCATGACCAAAGCGTCTTACGCATCTTCGTGAACCCTCAAACTATGGCATATCCAAGACACACAGCTATTTGTTGAGCAAATTATAATAGAAAGAGAGTTGCTATTTACCTTTCGGACTTTGTAAAAGCATAGAGGGTGTCGGGAATGAAGGCTGCCGAAGAAGTTATTCTCAACCTGTGACGCTTGCATAACAATAAGTTCCTGGTCAAGTCCAGTTATCTCATGGGAGTGGCTTCAGCCTTCCAATTTTTAGTAGTATTTTTATCATGATTTATAGTAGAAGTGGCAGCTACTACTTTTAGCAGTTAGTATGTGCCAGACACCAAGTTAGACCATCTATCTGCATGCATTATTGCTAAACTTTACACTAACTCAACAAGATAGGAATATTCCCATTTTACAGTCGCCGATACTGATGTTCAAATTGCCAAAGGTAAGAAGATCCCGCCTGCACTACCAGCGGTGGCTCCTTCATTGCCAAACAATCTCTAGTCATTCAGCTTAATTAGTTTGCTGAAAGCTTGATTAGAGCAGGCATGGTCATGGAAAGCATTTTGGTAATCATTTAAGAGATCCGATGCTTTGAAGAAAGCACTTTTCTGAATAACAAAACAGCCTGCTACCTTCGGCCATCTTGGGTGTTTTGCACAAGAAAAAAAAAAAATTGTCCTACTTTTAAAATTTCCCATAGTTTTAGCTGGAGTATTACTAGGCGAGTATTATTTTTCTGCAGGAGAAAGCGAGGCGACACACGGGCCGGCTAAGACAGGGTCCTCGTTTAAGGAGCTTACAGTCCCGCTGGGGAGAAAAGACACATACATTAGGCAATTGCAGAAGATTTCCATGCTAAAGGTCGTAAGAACCATGTCAATTCTGGCCATAGTGAAGTCAGAGCAGACAAGGGGCACCTAATACAGAAAACAGACCTGGAAGGACCTACTGGCTGGCAGACCCTCTGAGAGGGAGGATCACTCCCCCTGAGTGTGTACAGGGTATGGATGGGGTGGGGAGTGGGGGCACTGTGGGCCTTGTGACTGTTCTGATGCCTGGGGTGTGAAGGACATTGGAATATTC